TTTTTCTAAATGCAGAATCTGAGGCCCATACCTACTGAGTCTAAGTACTTGCATTTTAACAAATTCCCTGATTTTTTTTATGGACATTAAATCCTGGGGCCGGAGGATGGGGGAATTATAAGACAGATATGGACCCTGCTTATCTCTCTATCAATTATTTATTCACTCTTATATTTTCAGGGTCTAGACCAGCTCTGACACGTCATAGATGCTCATCACACGTGTTTAACGAGTGGACTCTGGTTATTCTTTCTTACAAACTGTTTGCTGACCATTTCAGCTCATCGTGTGTTCTTTCTCTTCTGCTAGGATCCTAGAGCATTGTTGAATGTTCCTCTCAGATGGCATCAGTTTGATTCTAACATGTCTATTGCTTCGCCTTTCTGTGCATGCGCAATTGTGTGTGTAACATCTTTTCCATCACAGCAAGACTTCCCTTCCTTGGGAGATGGCATAGATTATTTATACTTTCCTTAGAGTGACCTCTCAAACAGCTGGATACAAGCTAATGGTATTTTTCCCACGGATACTCGTGCAGGACAACATATCATGCAAACCTCAAATATTTGAACACAATGCTGTATCATGATAAAAGTATGAACTTAGTTACCAAATTGACCTGGGGACAACTTTCATTTCCAAAATTTCTTAGCACTTTGTATTTGTTACTTAACCCTTAAGAGTGATAGGTTTTTCATCTTTAAAATGGAGATCATGTCATAATGGAGCGTGTAGAAGCTCCCTATCATTTTTTTTAAATAATAAAAAATATATATTTTAATTTTCGTTGTGCTCACCCCAACTCTGAGCTACCTTAAACATGACAGATCAGAGCTATGTGCCACAGGGCTCTCATTGGCTGCGACCTTTCAAATGAAGTGTCAGGTTTTCCTCTGAGGAGTTTCTAGTTGTTCCTGAACCGCAGGCCTTGCAGTTAGCAGTGCGAGCAGTGAGACTCGTTTCCATACATCCATATTTAAACAAGCAGTGCTCTTGTTGATTGGCTAATTCTCCTTTCATGTGAAATTTAAGATGCAGATATGAT